GGGACATTGGGACATTGGGGACATTGGGACATTGGGACATTGGGGACATTGGGGACAGCGCCGGCGACAGCGGGGCTGTAGCAGAGGGTGGAGCTCTACCAGGTGGGACATTGGGGAAATCTGGGGACATTGGGGACATTGGGGACATTGGGACATCTGGGACATGGGGACATTGGGACATTGGGACATTGACCAGTACCCAGCTTGCCGTATCCCAGGATCCCGACGCGCCGAGTCTGCGGCTGCTCCTCCATGGCCTGGGGGCCAATTAACCCCTAATTAACCCCTCATTAACCCCTCATTAACCCCTAATTAACCTGCAAACCCTCCTGATTTAATCCTGACCCGTTAATTAACCCTCAAACCCCCCTAATTAATAAAAAAATTTCCTAATTAAGCTCCCAACCGCCCCAATTAACCCTGCACCCCTTAATTAACCCCCAAACCCCCCTAATTAACCCCTGATTTCCCCTTAATTAACCCCAAACCGTCCTAATTAACCCCCTAACCTTCTAATTAGCCTCTAATTAACCCCCAAACCCCCCTTAATTAACCCCTAATTTCCCCTTAATTAACTCCCAACCCCCGTTAATTAACCCCAAACCATCCTAATTAACCCCCTAACCTTCTAATTAACCCCTAATTAACCCCCAAACCCCCCTTAATTAACCCCAAACCTTCCTAATTAACCCCCTAACCTTCTAATTAGCCCTTTAATTAACCCCAAATCCCCTTAATTAACCCCTAATTTCCCCTTAATTAACCCCAAACCCCCTTAATTAGCCCCTAATTAGCCCCTAATTAACCCCCCACCCCTCGATCACCCCCCAGCCCTCATTAACCCGCACTCACTAATTAGCGGCCGCTCCCCTCCCCCCATTTTTTGGGGGGGGTTCTCAACCCTGGATTCCAAATTTGGGGAGGGGGGGGTCCCAATTTTTGGGCGGTTCCATTTTTTGGGGGGGGTTCTCAACCCTGGATTCCAAATTTGGGGAGGGGGGGGTCCCAATTTTTGGGCGGTTCCATTTTTTTGGGCGGGGTCTCACCTTTGGGACCCCCAAATTTTGAGGGGACGTCTTCGGTTTTGGGCGGTTCCATTTTTTAGGGGGGTGTTGCGTCTGTGGGACCCCAAATGTGGGGAGGGGCCCTCAATTTTTTGGACGATTCCATTTTTTTGGGGGGGTCGCTTCTCTGGGACCCCAAATTTTGGGGTGGGGGGTCCCCAGTTTTTGGGCGATTTCATTTTTTTTGAGGGGGGGGTTTCGCGCCCTCGGGACCCCAAATTTTGGGGAGGGGAAACCTCAAATTTTGGGCGATTCCATTTTGTTTGGGGGGGTGTCCCTAAATTCTGGGTGCGAGGAACCCCAAATTTTGGGGCGATTCCATTTTGGGGGGTGGGGGTCGCACCCTGAGACCCCAAATTTGGGGAGGTTTTCCCGCATTTGAGGGATCCCCAATTTTGGTTGGGTCGCGCCCCTGGGACCCCCAAATTTTGGGGGGGGGGTCCCATTTTTGGGTCCCCCCCTCCCCATTCCCATTTTCCCGGAGGGGGGCGGCGATTCCCGCTCCCCGCGCTGTTCCCGTTGCCATGGGAACCGCCCCTCCGTTCCCATGGCAACCGCCGTTCCTCCAATATTCCCTCCACCCTCCGCGCCGCGGTTCCTGTTCCCATGGAAACCTACGCGCTGTTCCCAAGGTCGCGCCTCCTCCCTCCGCGCCGCTGTCGCCATGGTAACGCCGCTGTGCTCTCCCCCTCCCCCCGCGCTGTTCCCATGGCAACGGGAACAGCGGGGAGAGGGGAGCCCCCCCCGGGACCTGAGGGGCTCTGGGGCCATGTTGGGGCATTTTTGGGGCATTATTGGGTTCCCCTCCCGTTCCCATGGCAACCGCTGTTCCTCCAATACGCTCTCCACCCTCCGCGCCGCTGTTCTCGTTACCATGGAAACCTACGCGCTGTTCCCAAGGTCGCGCCTCCTCCCTCCGCGCCGCTGTCGCCATGGTAACGCCGCTGTGCTCTCCCCCTCCCCCCGCGCTGTTCCCATGGCAACGGGAACAGCGGGGAGAGGGGAGCCCCCCCCGGGACCTGAGGGGCTCTGGGGCCATGTTGGGGCATTTTTGGGGCATTATTGGGTTTTTTGGGGGAATTTTGGGGCTCTTTGGGATTTTGGAGGAAATTCCAGGGGATTTTGGTGTTTTTGGGTTTTTTTTAAAGTGGTTTTTGGGTATTTTTTAGATTATTCGGGTGTATTTTGGGTTATTTTTGAAGCGATTTTAAGATATTTTGGGGTGGGTTTGGGGCAGTTGGGGGGATTTTGGTCGTTTTGGGGATTTTTAGGGATTTTTGGGGTGGTTTTAGGGTATTTTTGGGTGGTTTTAGGATATTTTGGGGGGTTTTAGAGGTGGATTTTGGGGAATTTTCAGGCGGTTTCTGGTGGGTTTTAGGGGATTTTTTGAGGTAATTTGATGTGATTTTGGTGGAATTTTAATGAATTTTTGGGGGTTATTTTTGGATATTTTAGGTGTGGCTTTTGGGGATTTTTTGGGTAATTTGGGATTGGTTTGGGGTCTTTTGGGTGACTTTTTTTGCATTTTGGGGGTGTTTTTAGGGGATTTTTTGTGTTTTTAAGGTATTTTGGGGATGGTTTTGAGGTATTTTTGAGGGGCATTTTGAAGGGAATTTTGGGGTAGTTTTGGGGGTAATTTGGGGTATTTTTGGTCTATTTTTTTGGCATTTTGGGGGTAATTTTGGACTTATTTTTTGTGGGTTTTGGGGTCTTTTTTGAGGTGTTTTTGATGAGATTTTCAGATATTTTTGAAGTGGGATTCGATGTTGATTTTGGGGTATTTTGGGTTATTTTTGGGGGTATTTCGGGAGTGGTTTTGGGGTATTTTTGAAGTGGTTTTTGATGTCGTTTTGGGGTGATTTTGGGTTTTTTTGGGGGTATTTTGGGAATGGTTTTGGGGCATTTCTGGAGCGTTCTCGACCACAGCAAGGGACGCCCTGGTCCGGGGTCATTCGCACCCCAAATCCACCAAAAACGCCCCCAAAACCACCCAAAACCCACCCAAAATCACCCCAACCCCTGGGATCCCCCCACCCCAAATCAGCCCTGGTACCACCCTAATCCCACATCTGAAATGCCCCAAAATCGCCCGAAAAACATCCAAAATCAACACAAAACCACACAAAATCCACCCGAAAAACACCCAAAATCAACCCAAACCCACCCAAAATCAACCCTAAACCACCAGAAAAACACTCCAAAACAACCCAAAACCACCCAAAATCCACCCTAAAAACGACGCACCCTAAAAAAACCCCAAAATCAACCCAAAACCACCCAAAACCACTCTAAAACCACCCAAAAATCAACCCAAAACCACCCGAAATCAACCCAAACCACCAGAAAAACACTCCAAAACAACCCAAAACCACCCGAAATCAACCCTAAAAACGACGCAAAATCAACACAAAACCACCCAAAAATCAACCCAAAACCACCCAAACCACCCAAAAACCAGCCAAAATCAACCCAAAAATCAAACCAAAACCACCCAAAATCCACCCTAAAAAAAACCAAAATCAACCCAAAACCACCCAAACCACCCAAAAACCAGCCAAAATCAACCCAAAACCACCCAAAACCACTCTAAAACCACCCAAAAATCAACCTAAAACCACTCAAAAACCACCCAAAATCAACACAAAACCACCCAAAAATCACCCCAAAACCACCTGAAAATCAACCCAAAACCACGCAAAATCTACCCTAAAAAACCCCCAAAGTCAGCCCAAAACCACCCAAAATCCACCCTAAAAAAACCCCAAAATCAACCCAAAACCACCCAAAAACCACCCAGAATCAACCCAAAACCACCCAAAATCAACCCAAAACCACCCTAACCCCCCCAAAACCACATGAAAATCCCACAACCCAAACTGCCCTAAAACCATCCCAAAACCACCCAAAAACCCACTA